TGTCAGGCGATGAGCCATAGTACTGGCCCCAGAAAGTGTGAAACTCCTGACCTCATTCACGTGCATCGCAAAAAAGAGTTGGACTGATGATTTGCAATTTGTTGGAGAGAGCTGCTTCACCCTGCGCAGAGAGATTTGTGCGGAGTTGCGACATTTCATCAGAACTGCCGTAGTTTCAGCGGGGGCCTCGCTGCTGACCATCATTATGTGGGACCGGATACAACTTCTTTTTACTAAGGTTTTAAATCCTGCAGCACCTAGTCTTGTGAATGGCTGTGACTACCCCATGGTTTAGCCGATCCATACCCCGCCATGCTTCTCGCCATGCCTCACCCCCCTGCCGACTCAGCTCATACCTGGACTGCTCCAACAAGTGGTGCCCCTGCCGCTTTCGGTGCCATGGACAGAATCCATCCAGTTGGGAACAGGGAGACTGGTGGGAGGCATTGGGGTTTATTGAAGAAAGAGACCTCAAGGCATGGGTCAAGGGGGTTCATGTTCATTTTCCACAATCACAAAGCTGGCTTCGTATCGAACCTCAGTGCCCCGTTTTGGGTATGGGGTATATAAAGTGATTTGTGCTCTCCAAGATACTTTAATACAATATGTCCAAGGCATGTTCTAGCTGCAGATCTCATTGTCACTCGAATCTGACACCTAGAAGAAAAAAACATAGGCAAGGTTTCTCCTCAGGTTGATTAACAGTGTTTCGGGAGAACGACACGCATTTGTTGGTCTCATTTTGACAAAAGATCCTCTCAGTGATTTTTTCCGTTTCGGTTCAACGTGTCTTGGCATTGGCTTGCACAAAGCACCAGATAATTTACCTGGTCTCCTTTATCAAACCTCCACCAGTTGCAGGTCAAAGGACAGAGAAAGGCGATAATCGATTACCTGCATGAACAAATGTTATTTAGTAATTAGGTTGTAATTATTAACTTGATATCTAGGTGTACAATAGGCGTACAATTTACAACGTTTAATATGTTCCTTTTGGATTGATGGAGTGGTAAGGCCAGATTCTCAAACGTATTTGGGCAATGCGTCAAATAAAGTGACTTGAAAACTTCCAGTGACTAACTAGACGGTGCTTGTGTTCTAGACGTGCCTAGACCATGTGCATCAAAAGACCTTAATATGTGACTCTTCTATCTACCGAAATATTTGTCCTTCAACATCACTGCAAAGACATGACGTCTTTGATTCCCTTACGGCAAAGACTCATCCATGCAGAACAGACTGGGTCTGTGAAGGGGGTTCTGGACTCAACATGGCTCAACGTGGCTCCTGCCGTTGCCAGCTGCCGTCTGCGGCGACTCCACGGAGATGAATGTGGCAGCCCATGTGCCGCTTGGATGCAGTCTACCTACGAAGCAGCGAGTTGGGGAAAGCAACAACCACTCCCACAGTAGAAGAACTCGGATACCGACAAGACGTTGGTATCCCAGAGTCAGTGAGGTGCCTTGGAACCAGCCTCCAAAACGATTGATCTGGAGCCTTTACAGTAGCCGGACAGCCGAGGTTGCTAGGGAGGCCACAAATCGCGCACCGTGGTGCGGTTGCTTTGTTTCGTCACGACCAAAGGGTGCGGTTGGATCTTCAGAAGTTCCGGAAGTTCCGGAACCAGTTCGAACGGCCAACGGCCGTGGCCGTCTCGCCCGGCGCGTCGGGATGAAGACGACACCGCTCCGGACCGAGTACGTACCCAGAGATTCCTTGTAATGGCAACATGGACCAATGATATTCAATGGACCCCGAAGTAACCAACAGAATGGTAAATATTCACACATATTCCATACATGGAGCGTTGGGGTTACGGGTGGTCATGCAATAGTTGGTCAAAGAGCCTGGCGGTCATGCAATTCTCTCGCATGTTTCGCATGTCTTGTGACCGAGGTTTGACTTTCGGACGGAACTCGTTCTCGCGAGAACTGTTTGTTTTGTTTTGTCGCGAAAACTTGGTCTTTGAACTTGGCTCTTCCTTTTGGGCGCTTGTCAGTATGTCATGTTGACGCGAGGGATTTGGTTCCTGTACTCATTTTCAAGTCTATATCTCAAGTTTGAGAAGATCGCTGAGTTTCAGCCCGTGCAACTTCAATGCCTTGGAGGGTTCAACCGGTGTCGAAAAAGCCTCGCTTGTCAGGCCACAACATCCGCACAACGTTCCTTTTCTCTTTGAACATACCTAACGCGAGGCCCCTTTCTTGCTGTATAAGGGTGGTTGGAGACTTTTTATGTAAGCTTGGAGGGCCCAAGTACCTTCATACGGCACATGCCTCTTACTTGTACATCTTTACAACCCTTTCATTTTTCCCACAGGGGCTAGCAGCCCGCGCCTGCCGACCCTTTTTCGAGGGGTCCGGGGGCGGGGAGGGCCCCGGGGGCGGGGAGGGCCCCCGCAGCCTGAGCTTCCGGATGCGGGGCGGACGCATAGACGTTGGAGCCCCGTTCGTAGCGTCCTTGCTCCTAGTAGCGATGCCAGGAGTCCCTAGTAGCTTCTTGTTCCTAGTAGTACGGCCAGGAGCCCCTCGTACGAATAGATTAGATGAGCTGCTGAAGAATTGTCAGTTGAGCAGGTGAAAATTGCTAGGGTTGCTGCCGTGCCCATTGAACATGTTGCAATGGATGGATTTTACATGATTTTACTATATTTTACTGATATGAGTGATTCAAGGGTGCAGGCTCAGCTGAGACCTAGGAACAATCGGACATGAAATGTTCATTTTCGACCTTCTATAAGGCACATTATGTTAGAACTGGGTGTTTCAAGGGGTTGGTCTCCTAGTATCTACGAATCCTTGCTTCGGGTGTCAACCAGACACAATTGGTCTCCTGTGTGATTTTTTCTTCCCCAGTTCGTGTGCTTTGCAAAGGATCACTGTGCAAAGGATCCCGTTGAAAAGCACGAAAAGTCCATGGAGCAACTCCCATTCGCACGTTGGGCTTCTCCACCTTTAAGTTCAAACTTCAGAGCAAATCTCTTGGGAGAAGACCGAAGAAGAGTGGGCAGGGGTTGTGGCCTGAACTTGGTGTGTGTGTGTGAATCCCAGTGTGTCAGAAGTGATGAAACTGATTCATTTGTGATCACTTACACACCTCCCTGCCTTCAGGGAGTTAAGAGTTTACATCCACCCCCGTGCCACTGTGTGTCACTTACGTACACCTTAAACCATCAGCTTGAGCAGATTGGGTGGGCTTTTCAAAGGATCCCCTCGAAGAGATGTATCTCAAAGAAAGGAGCCAGAGGCATCAATCTGTCCTACCCAAAGTGTTGTGTTGGACCGTCTTGACCACTCCGTTTCAACCAACATGTGTCTAATAAGCTTAGGAGTGTTTCCTGAAACATCCAGCATGGAACCTGCGCGTGCGCGTGCCTCCGGTTTCACCATGCTTCCATCGTCCTAGACGACGGACGGGTCGGCGGATATAGTATAACAACATGTTCAAGGACGGGCATCGTCATGTTCCATAAAGATTCAAGACATAGTGCATTGATGTTCTTCGTGCATTGCTGTACCCCAAGAAATCCCCACTACAACTTCATTCTGACTCTTTTTCAGACGTCACCCAACGACCAAACCCGACCGGGCCTACGACCGTGAACCCGTCTTCCCGCTCGTCTTCCAGGTCGAACATCCGCATGGCGACCGGAAGCACCAACGTTGGCGCCTCGTTGTGCATCATCGAGAGGGAATCTACCGACCCGTGACAACTCCGGGGGAGCACCAGTTTGAAGGATGATTGGTCTGGCGACGTCGTGTGGGGAGCAACAAGCACCAGTTTTCGGAACTTGTAAATTTGTTTTAATGGTCTGTGGGTCACCAATTCATGGACTTTTTGGGAGGATGTTGTATATAGGAAGTGGTTGGTTACGTTGTGATGGCCTTCCTTGTCGGTTTGCCGGTTGCACACCTGACGAGGGCCGTTGACAGACGCGGAAGCTCCGGACATGGGGATGGGTCGTGACCCACCTGCAGCCTGGGTCCGCGCGTTCACGACCGACACGTCGGTAGCTCGTGCCCAGTCGGTCTGGCTCGTGCCATGACCCACAGCAACACCAGAACTCGTTGGTGTGTGGACTTCAACCTGTCCAAGTCGAAACCAAGTATTCTGTGACGAAGCGTATTCGTTGGTGTGCAGCGAAGAACCCCAAATCCTTGGAACACATCGGGTGGTCAGAATGAGTCAACAGAGGGTGGTCCTTCAGCCACAGATAAAGACACAAGCAAGTGTCCTGTTTTATGTTTTTTTTGTGGTTTTGCTGCAGAGTGGCAGCGATTCGAAGATGTTGCGATTTTTTTTCTATTTGATGCAGAGTACTTCGGCACTGCATTGTGGTTTTCACATCCCGGGTTTTCATGACGCTGACACAAAATCGGCACTGGCAGGCGGCGCTACTCGTAGTGCCGGTGCACTCCTTTCTTTGACATTTGCCGCGGCCTTGTACCTTCTCAAGTTCTGAGTCGAGTGATCAATAGCCATCTTCCACAAGAAGAATACTATAAACACAATTGTTGTCTCTCAGCATTTTGCGGGAGACAGAAGGACTGGCACCTGAACCTTCCAGATTTGTGAAAAGCACTCTATTCTGGCTGCAAAGTCCACTAATTCACTGCCTTTGCCTTCCACCTCCGGGGTGCTCGGCTCGATGTAGCCGGGTGCCGACGTGAGCGAGCGATCCGTGACGCAACCGCGGAGCTTCATTCGGCAGCTTCAACTGCCCCGCGCTTCGTCGTCGGTCGTGGAAAACGGACGGGGCGTCGAGATCCACTGAGCTCTCTGACTTGAGGTGACGGTGACTCCATGTGACTCCTGCGAGTCGTAGAGTCGTACGGAGAACGTTCATCGGCCACACTTCGTACTCCTGTCCACGGCCCTCCTAATAAGGACACCTCGGGAGGTTCGTTGTTTTTGAAGAGGGAGTCCGTTTTGGAATAGGTACTCGGGATGGTCCGTTACATTGGTTGTCAACTGTTTCTATTCTGAAAGGAGGGGTGACACCACAAACCTCTCTATCGAGGTGGAAGCTCGAGGCAGGTGTACACATATTACAAGTAAGTTCTGAGCAGATAGTGGCAATTACGGTTGAAGCCATGAGCTGCTGCAGCTATTTGATCACTCGAGGCAACAGAACCTGGTCATTCCAGCATCAGAAGTGTGAGCCATGAACAGCATCGCGACCGTGGTTTTTGCCGCAGTGCTTGGTGCAGCAACTTGGGCGTCAAGTCTTCAATATCCTTGGCTGAGAAGTCGCTGTAACAGAATTCCTCGGAAAGGACCATCACAACCAGGTAAGCCAGACACAGGAAACTCCAGTGGGGCCTACATTCTTCATGGCCTTTAATTGTTGGTTGCAGTCAGACATGGCCATAGAACAAAGGGGAGGTCGATGTTGCAGCGACCACCAGACGGTTGCGTCAGTGTCCTCCTTATTGCTGGACTCCTAGGCAGTGGCACACCCATCAAGCTGACCCTGCAACTTTGCTTGCATGGCCGCGAAGCAGCCTGGTGGAGTCTTCGGTGGGATGGGCGTTGCCAACTTCAGTCGCCGCCTCAGCCGTTCGGTGGGACAGCCGCGTCGCGTTCTCCGCGCTCTTCGTCACGTGATGCGAAAGATGGGGCATCAACAAGTTCAGTTGTTTCCTCACATCTATCGCAATGAGTCCCTGTTGTTTTTTTTAATGAAGGATGCAGGTGGTTTGTGTGTGGTCCTGTATTTGTGACTTGCTTGACTTGCTTGACTTGCTGGTTCGATCTCCTTTGCACTCAATGATGGTTCTCATGAGAGATATGGCGCCTTTTCAAGTGGTCCAAACCAGTTTCAGCTTGATGTACCAGCAGGATCTTGAGACGTTTCACTTTGATGTGCGATTCATTGTCATTTGTCAGGGTCACGACCGACCACCTTCAAACTATGTGTTTTCTATGTTTGCCGAGAGGGTCAGTCAAACAGTTTTGCGAATCAGGTTCCTTTTCTAGTATCATCATCCACTGAGTCCCACAGTACTGACAGTATATCAGATCTACCCAAAGCATATGCACAAACTCATCATGTCCGCCTGACACCTGCAGATAATGGCACTGACGCCTGCGTGATTACCACGGACATCCCAGCCGCCACTTGGCTCGTCCGACTCTTCTTCCGAGTCCATTTCACCGTTCTTCGCGGGGCTGAAATCCGATAGATAGACACAATTGAAGGCGATAGATAGACACAATTGTAGCAGTGTAGATGACAATATATTATCGGGCTACTGCTATTATCAGTTTGGGCTCTAATCCGTAGCAGTAGCTTGTTTCGCAGCAACAACGTGTTCGCTTTCGTTCTTTTGATTTGGGCTCTCTCTCGAGGGGCTCGTTCGCGGATTTCTGCACGCAACCGCTCCTCTTTGATCCCAGGCTGGATACACTGGTGGACAAAACTATACGGCACCTGATCTGGATTCAGAGGTCGTTTTGGGGTCGCTTGGGGTCGCGCAAGCGACGGAAACGACAGTGAGGTGAGGGCAATTTTGTCAAACCTAAACGACCCCGCACAGATATGACAGTGACTTCTTTGGCTGCTAGCAATGTCTATTGTCTTGGTTGGGGGTTCCATGCTAAGACAGCAAGTATCTTAGGCATTGGAATTGTGTTTGGGAAATTGGAATGAGTTCCCAAATCCTGAAGTTCCTGGATGCTGAATGTGGCCCCCTTATCCAACATGCATTGAAGAGTTATTTATGTCAACATTCCAAGGCGAGCGCTCTGTGAATTCTTCTGTGGTTTGTCCAGCAAAGCAGAAACAAAGACATATTGTTATAACATATTATCACACTTGTGGAACACTGGGTCAATAGTTTTGCTGCATATTGTGTTTGTTAGTTTGGATATAGAGCCAACCTAGCGTGGGACTCAACATAATTGCATCATTTGATTGAACTTTAGTTGTCGATCTCAGCTTACACATTGAATGGGCAAAGCAGCTTCTGGAGATGATACAGTAACATTCTTTTGAAAAAGAATGTGACCTCAGAATCATGATGAACGATTCAAAAAGTGATGCTGACAGTTCTTTGCCTTTTTTGAGACGCAGTTTCTTCCTTTACGAGCAACCTCAACAACTTCGGCCGCCTCATCAATTGGCTTTCAACTGAGGTGACTGTGACATCTACTGGCACGTCCCTTGACAGGTCAAGGGAAGATCCAGTATAACCCATCCACTAAAGACACTTGATTTGCTGTGGCTTGAAGATAAGCTTGTCACAAACAGCACTGTCCTCACTAGCTTGAATACTTAGACCAACCCTTGAGGACATGAGTTTGCTATAGATGCACAAAACCGTCTTGGCAATTGGGTACATGGTTTAAAGCCGTCGTCCTTTTTGTGATACCATCGTTGAAGTCTCTATATATTGACTTTTAGATGTTAGGAAAGGCAGTTCAGATCTTTACGTTCATTACCACAATAGCCCCAAGCTTTTTTCGACAAGACCGGCCTTTCTGAGCCAGGTCCAGCTCCTGCTCCCGCTCAGGTTTGCGCAGAAAGTGACCTGCAGCTCTGGGATGTTTGGCGATGACGACACGTCGAACCAGCCAACAAAGGCGCGGTCGGAGTAGGTCGTAGCCAGGACTTGGGTGTGAAAAAGGCGGGGTCGTACCTGAAGAGGCCACAGAAACATACAGGAGTTGAATTCGCCCAGATACATACTGCAAAGATACGATACCTGCAACAATTCGCCTTGCTTTCTCGGATGCCTTGTCAGCATGTCAGGCGATGAGCCAGAGTACTGGCCCCAGAAAGTGTGAAACGTCTGACCTCATTCACGTGCATCGAAATAATGAGTTGGACTGATGATTTGCAATTTGTTGGAGAGAGCTGCTTCACCCTGTACAGAGAGATTTGTGCGGATTTGCGACATTTCATCAGAACTGCCGTAGTTTCAGCGGGGGCCTTGCTGCTGACCATCATTATGTGGGACCGGATACAACTTCTTTTTACTAGTGTTCAGGTTTAAATCCTGCAGCACCTAGTCTTGTGAATGACTGTGACTACTCCATGGTTTAGCCGATCCATACCCCGCCATGCTTCTCGCCATGCCTCACCCCCTGCCGACTCAGCTCATACCTGGACTGCTCCAACAAGTGGTGCTCCTGCCTCTTTCGGTGCCATGGACAGAATCCATCCAGTTGGGAAGAGGTCGACTGGTGGGAGCCATTGGGGTTTAGTGAAGAAAGAGATCTCAAGGCATGGGTCAAGGGGGTTCATGTTCATCTTCCACAAGCACAAAGCTGGCTTCGTATCAAACCTCGGTGCCCCGTTTTGGGTATGGGGTTTATCAAGTGATTTGTACTCTCCAAGATACTTTAATACAATGTGTCCAAGACATGTTCTAGCTGCAAATCTCATTGTCACTAGAATCTGACACCTAGAAGATAAACACACCTTCAAGGTACCTCCTCAAGTTCATTAACAGTGTTTCGGGAGAAGGACACGCATTTGTTGGTATCATTTTGAGAAAAGTTCCTCTCAGTGAACCATCCCGTTCCGACTCAATGCTTTGGCATTCAGCTTGCGCAAAACACAAACATCAATATATGATCTATATGCTTGGGTGTCCTTTGTCAGACCTTGACCACTTGCAGGATCTTGCAGGTCAATGAACAGAGAAAGGCGATAATTGATCACCTGGACGAAGAAAGTTTAATAAGTACAGTAGGTTGCAATTATTAATTCACTTGATATCTAGGTGTACAATTTACAATCTGTCAAATATGTTCCTTTTGGATTGGTTGATTTGTAAGGCCAGATTCTCAAAGATATTGGGCACTATATAAACCAAATAAAGTGACTTGAACACTTCCAGTGACTAACTAGACGGTGCTTGTGTTCTAGACATTCCTAGACCATGTACATCAAAGGATCTTAATATGTGACTCTTCTACCTACCAAAATATTTTCTTTGAAATCACTGTAAAGACATGACTGCTGTGATTCCCTACAAAGACCCATCCAAAAGGTCAGTGAAGGGGGTTGGGGCTCAACATGGCTGCCCTTGCCAGCTGCCGCCTGTGGCGACTCCACGGAGATGAATCTTGCAGCCCATGTGCAGCTTGGATGCAATATCTACGGAGCGCTGAGTTCGTCAAATGTCAGACTTGATGACGGTTTCTTCGTTGCCCTTGGTATGTGTGTAGTTGGAGAGAGGTGGCACAACTCCCAGATTTGGGAAGTAGTCTGTAATCGACAGGGTCTTTGTACCCTAGAGGTGATTTGGTGGAACAACAACCCTTTTATTGTATATATTAAATTGTTATTGATCAACCAACTATGCTCATATATCATATGTATATATATATATTCTTATACATTATATATGTATACCTAATGCAAGCGGATGAACTGCTGCAACTGTGCCTGAGTACCAATGAGGGGACAGGAAAAGGAAACGTCAGATGCAACGGCAGCAAGGTGTCGAATTGACTCCTGTCTTCACTCTTGCACCTCAAATTACTCGACAGGTCCGAGTTCGGAGCTGCGAGTCCACATGTCAACGTGCATGTAGTAAAATAATATATATATATACAGTATAGATATACACCTACAAACAACACGTACC